AGAGAGAGAGAATTTTTCAATATTTATTTTTTAGTTCTCGGCGGACACAACATCTTCCTTGGTATGTGACGTTGAGGATCGAACCCTGGCCGCAAGCATGCTAGGCAAGCTCGCTACCGCTTGAGCCACATCCCCAGCCAGGCTTTTATTTTTAATAACACAGATTCCAGATACTTGTCCAAAGGCAAAGTAAATGAGACCCAATTAGAAACAGACACCTTGGAAGTGATTAATACATCTTGAATATGGTAGACAATAGATGTATTTGGCTGATTAATAAGGTAGGATACAACTGCAGACTCCTCCACTTCCTCTATATTTTAACAGTTTTAACTAATAGGAAGGTAGAAGCAGACGATTTTAAGATCCAGATTCCAAATTCTGTTTAGTTTAAACCTACTTCATTGCTCTCAAGTCTCCCCTAACCAGAGGAGAAATCCCATCAGTAGCAAAATGGAAAAGGGGTATTTGGCTTATGGAAGAAACCAAACATCTCACCAAAGCATATCATGCAGCTGCTCATTAAAGATGCTGCTCTTCTCTTTTTCCCCATGTGACCATGCCCGACAGAGGCACTGTCTAGCCAGGGAAGCTGTTAGAAAACAAGACAGAGAGTTCTCATTAGCAGGAAAATGACCTCTTTTTAAAAAATATATATTTAAAGTTTTTATTTTGAAACATAATAATTGTATACATTGTGGGGTATAGTGACATTTCAATGTATGTATATAATGTATAATGATCAGATAACCTCACTTGTCTTCCAGGCTTTTGGGATGATCATTGTTCAAAGGGATTATTATTCTAAATTTACTAAGTTGTTCCTGTCTTATCAAAAAATTTTTAGAAGGCTGCTATGAACATAAACCAATAGAGCCACACAAGGATACCGCTGGGCAGTGGGAAAGTCAAACGTGCTCCTGGTGGGCAGGTCAGTGGCCCTTCCCAAAGCACCGTTTCACATTTTCATGCTGCTGTTTGTGCTATTAACTAGGATGTATAATCAGTGAGATGTATTCCAAGAATTATGATATAATACAGTTAAAGAAAAGTCAAGGAAGAGGCTAATACTTTCTCCACACCTGATCCTGATTTCATCTTTTTCTCCCTTTTTTTAAAGATTTTTTATTCTATTTTGTCATATATGACAGAAGAATGCATTACAATTTATATTATACATATAGAGCACAGTTTTTCATATCTCTGATTGTATACAAAGTATATTCACACCATTCGTAATTCCATACATGTACTTAGGGTAATAATGTCCACCTCATTCTTTTTTATCCCCTTGCCCTCCTTCCCCTTTGCCCTATCTAGAGTTTGTCTAATCTTCCCATATTTTTCTCCCACTTTATTAACCTCATGGTTTATGTCTTTTTGTCAAATGTGTCAGATAATTAAAAAAAATTTTTTTAGTTGAAAATGGACATAATACCTTTATTTATTTTTATGCAGTGCTAAGGATTGAACACAGTACCTCACACATGCTAGGCAAGCACTCCACCACTGAGCTAAATCTCAGTCCCCAATTATTTTTTCTTTTTTAAAGGATATGATTAAAACTTGAGCCAAACAGAAAATTATCCAGGGCTGGGAATGCAGCTCAGTGTTAAGAGTTTGTGTGTGGACAGCATGTGCTAGGGCCCTGGGTTCCAATCCTCAGTACCAAAAAAAGAAAAAAAAAAATCCTCTAGACAGCTGACCAATGTCACACTAAGCAATGTCAGCAGAAGTCAATCAGAGATCCTTAGGGAAAAATAGCCTCTTTGGTGTCAAAGAGGGCATATCCAAGACTTTGTGGAGATTTACATGCAAAAATGTACAAGGTTCTGGGAAGCCCCAAATTTAGAGTTAGACATTAATTCTATTCTTGAAAAAGAGGAATTGGGCCCATCACCAATTTTTTCTTTCTTTGGAGCAGGAGCTGTAGATTTCTCCAACAGGACCATCAAAAGTCTGATAAGGTAAAGACCACACTGGAAACTAGGAATGCTGGGATGAAAATTCTGCAAGTAATTGAAGCTCTGACTGTAAGGAGACAAGAAACAAAACAACAAAACACAATAGCATCACATGTATTAAAGACACATTAAAATCCACAGGAGTTGCCCAACTTCTCTGTAAATGAGAGCCAAATCAGAATCCTCATTTTCAGGTGCTTTAGGACCAAGTTTTAAGCATCTTAAAAGAAAACTCTGTGTATGTAGAAATTTAGGGTAAAAGAGCACCCCAGGAATGGAATGCTGGCCTCAAAAGGGTCATGTATGTCAAAAATGCAATTTGTGTAACCCCTGATAAATTAGTTGCCCTTCAAAGACTTATGAAAACTGAAAATCATGTTTAAAATCCAAGTTTGGCAATGTATGGTGGCACACACCTGTAATCCCAGAGGCTCAGGAATCTGAGGCAGGAAGTTTACAAATTCAAAGCCAGAGTAACTTAATGAGACTTTGTCTCAAAATAAAAAATAAAAAGGGCTGGAGATGTGGTATCCAACAGAGACAATATGGAAGGAAATTATAATACAATGCAGAGAAAGCATAGTTTATTTGTTTTGTTTTCCTCAGTAGTGGGGATCAAATGCAGGGCCTCACATTTGCTAGGCAAATACTCTACCACTTAGTTACATTCCCAGCACCCCACCTCCTTAATATTTTTAGCTGTCAATGAATATTTATTATTATTACTTTTAAATGGGGCTGAGAATTGAACCCAGTGCCTCACACATGCTAGGCAAATGTTCCACTACTGAGCTACAACCCCAGTCCCCAAGCCCTTTTTCAAATTTTATTTTGAGAGTATCTTACTAAGTTGCCTGGCTGAAAACACAGCTTTTAATGAATGCATCATACACAGTCTAGTTTCAATGCAATAAAATAACGGGAGATAGGGAATGAAAATCAGTCTAGAACTGTTAAATTGTTGTTAAAGTGATACCAGAGTCAATTCCTGATTGTTTGGTGAGAAAGAGGTCAACTTAAACATTTTCTCTTTCTCTCTGCACCACCCCCCCTTCCTCCCTTTCATTTTTCAGAGCTGAGGATAGAATCCAGGGCCTTAAGCAGAGTAGGCAAATACTCAACCACTGAGCTATACCTCTAAAAGTAGTCAATTTAAAATAAGGTCCTGCCCTACAGGCAGGAAGACAAGTACTGACTGCTGACATAGTGATGGCCTAGGCTATCAAGGAGGAGAGGGAAAGACCAAGTCACTCTGGCTGATGCTGGATAGGAGGCTGACAGCCTGTCCTTTAAATTATATTCTCACCTCCCTCCTCCATAGCCTTGCCCTCAGTCACATATGGTCTTCCTCTAAGGATGGAGAAAGGAGACTGGCCATTAGTGATAACTAGCTGCTATCTACATATCCAATCCTGGTAGGAGACAGAGGAAGTCCTTGGACACTCAAGACCTGAATGCAGATGGTTAATGTTTTCATGATCATTACCTGAAAAGGCACATTCAAGGGCTGATGTATGCATGAAGATTTAGCATGGTATAACTAATGTTGTACAATTTATCCAAATACGTAAGTGAGAAAGCTCATATGCTGAGGAAAAAAGTGTTGAAAATATCAATTTCCTTCCCAACTACTGAGAATCCTAAAATTTTTCAAGGACTTTTTTTTTTTTTTTTTTTTTTGGTGCTGGGGATTGAACCCAGGGCCTTGTGCATGTGAAGCAAGAACTCCACCAACTGAGCTATATTCCCAGCCCTTTTCAAGGAAATTGACAATCCAGCTCCTGAGAGTCTCTTGGGAAAACACTCTAGGACATGCATCTGACCCACCTGACCAATTCCTCCAATGACTGCTCATGTTCTATTTGCTTCAGTCGGCTAGCGAGGACCTCAAGGGCTGAATACAGAAAATTATGATATCCAAGGTTAAAAAATCCATTCCTAAAGGAAAGACAAGGTAAGGTGGGTTAGCTGGGTTTCAGGAAGATTACCTGAACAGTATTTCAGGATCCTCAGCTCCAGTCTGCATCATCCTCAATTGACAAATCCACTCTCAACTCTAAGAATCAGATTATAAAATTGAGGTACATCCAGAATAGTCCATCCTTAAGGACCTAACAGTCCTCTCACAGGCTTGTTCTCTTTTTTTTCTTTTTTTTTTGTATTAGGGATGAAACCCAGAGGTAATTGTACCACTGAGCTACATCCCCAGTCTTTTGTTGTTCTTGCTGATTTTAGTATCTTTCTTTTGTTTAATTATTTTTATGTGGTATTGAGGATCAAACTCAATGCCTCACATGTGCAAGGCAAGCGCTCTGCCACTAAGCCACAACCCCAGCCCTTGTTCTTTTAAGGCAGGATCTAAGTTTGTTAGGGCCTTGATAAATTGCTGAGACTGGCCTCAAACTTAAATCTACTGCCTCAGCTTTCCAAACCACTGGGATTATAGGCATGCACCACCAAGCCTGGTTCAAGGCTTATTATCAAGGGGGCAAGGAACTCTTCTCCTTCCTTACATTTTAGAGGTAAGCCTCAGTCTTTTGTCAAATTGCTAAATTAATGTCCAGTCCCCGGTAGGTGCTCAATAAAGTACTTAACTATTTCTCTACGTTAATAAATTGTCTTAACAATTTTATCTTGGATTTTCTAATTGTCCCTTTTCCCCCCAAGTCCAGACTATCATTCCAGGCCAGGTCCCTGTCGTTACATGCACAGATCATGACAACATCTGCTGTGTTTATGGGTTTTTTTTTTTTTTTTAGTATTTTTGGGCTGTCAATGGACCTTTATTTATTTATATGTGGTGCTGAGTATCGAACCCAGAACCTCACACATGCTAGGCAAGTGCTCTACCACTGAGCCACAACCCCAGCCCCACCTGCTGATCTTTTTGCATCCTTTCCCACTGTCTGTACACTGTTGCCAAAAAGATTTTCTTAAAATGCTTTCATTATATTATGGCTATGATCACAGAACTCCAAACTGCTTCCCTGCACTTTTAAATTCTGCAAGACCTTCAAGGCTCATACAATGTGACCCCTAGACCTTCTCCTACAGAAACATTCTCCACATCACCAGTGCTATTTGCCCTTCCTTCAACAAATGTACTCTGAGGGCTATGTGTCAGGTTTTCTCCCTACCATTTTGAGGTATAACTGATGAATAATAAATTATATATATTTAAAAAGCTGAATTTGATCAGATTTGATTTATAAACTCATGAGACCACCAGAGTGAAGATACTGAATATATCCATCACCCCCCTAAGATTTTTTACACTCCTTTGTAATCCATTTTGTAATCCATTCCTCTTTCGAACCTCCTGCCCAATGCTATGCAACAACTGATAATTTTCCATCATTATAAAATATGCTTTTTCTAGAATTTTATATAAAGGGAATCAAATACTGTGATTCTTTATATTCTTGCTTTTTATTTAGCATATGTATTTATCATGTTGCTGCATGTAGCATTCCCCCATATATATATATCATGATTTATTTATACATTCACCAACTGATCAACATTTGGGTTATTTCTATTTTGTAACTATTACAAATAATACTACTATAAACATTCATGCATAAGACTTTGTGTGAACATGTGTTTTCATTTTTTGGGGGGTAAATACAATAGGGATAGAACAACTGGGTCATATGGTAGGTATTTGTTTAACTTTTCAAGAAACTTTCAAAACTGTTTTCCAAAGTAAGACCAGCAACAAGTGAGCATTATCAGCTGATCCACATTTTCACCAACACATGGCATAAAATCTTTTTTCATTTTGCTATGTTAGTGTGTTGTACTATCTCACTGTGCTTTTCTATGGTGCTGGGGATTGAGCCCAATGCCTCACCAGTAAACACTAAACAAGTGCTCTTCCTCTGAGCTGCACCCCAAGTTTCTTTTAATTTGAATTTCCTTAATAACTAAAAATAAAAAACATCCTTTCATTTATCATCTGTCATAAATAAATCTCCTTGGGCTGGGGATGTGGCTCAAGCGGTAGCGTGCTCGCCTGGCATGCATGCGGCCTGGGGTTCGATCCTCAGCACCACATACAAAGATGTTGTGTCTGCCGAAAACTAAAAAATAAATATTAAAATTCTCTCTCTCTGTCTTTTAAAAAAATAAATAAATTTTAAAAATAAATAAATAAATCTCCTTGATGGTTTATACAAATATGTTGTCAGGGACTACTTTTAAGTATAGAGAATACAAAAATGACTGATATCTGCCTTCATGGAGCTCAAAGTATAACAGGGAAGACAGGTGAACAAGTAATTATAAAAAATGTGATGTTTTGGGGTTTGAATTGTGGCTCAGTACAACACTTGCCTAGCATGTGTGAAGTCCTGGGTTTGATTCTCAGCACTACAAACAAAAATAAAGGTTCATTAAGAACTAAAAAACTATTTTAAAAAAAAAAGAATTGCCATTTTTTGAAAAATGTGATATTGTATCATAAGAGGATACAAAAGTGGTAGGAGGAAAGTGGGACTAGATGGGCATAAAAAAGGTTTACCTAGTCTAAGGGCTAAAGAAAATGTCACTGAAGAAGTGAAGTTAGCTCTCAGGAGATTAGATGTGTCAGAAAAGAGTAAGGATCAAGAAGTGTGGGGATCCTGGCAGAGGATGAGTATGTGTAAAGCCTTTTAAGTGAAAACCATGTAGGGTGCTGAATTAGTTCGAATTCAATATGACTACAGGCAGAAGAAAAGACAACAGGTGGGGCAGGAGGCGGCAGGAGAAAGTCTGAGAAACTAGGCAAATCAGAGACCAGAACGAGGACAAGATCAGATTAGGTCTGTGTTGGGAAGATCATTGTGACTCGTATGTGAGGAATGGACCCAGGCAGGACAAACAGTGGCAAAGAAACCAACTGTGAGACTAATCTAGTACAAGTGGGAGATGATGGGAGTCTAGCAGCAGTGGAGAGAGGACAGATGGTTATCTAAATGTTATCCAGAGATGAAGTCAACAGAATTTGGAGATCACATGTGGGAGAGAGAAAGGTTAGAAAGTAGAGGAAGGGGCAAAAAATAACTCCTAATTTGGAGCTCAGACAACTAGTGGTACCATTGACAGAGCCAGAGAAAGCTGGAGGAACAGTGATGACACATTCTGCTTGGGATGTGATGAGTCTGAGGTTTTACTGACACATCTTAAGGGGGTGTTGAGTAGGCAATTGAATATAAATGCCTAGAGCTCAAAGGATAAAATTTGGCATAACTTTAAGCTTCGGTAAGACTACCCAGAAAACCTGTGTAGAAAAGAGAGAGGGGACAGGACCTAGCTCTGAGGAATCAAATTTATGGGACAGACATCCTTTTTGTCTATGTTCACCCATGCTGTGCCTTTCAATTCTTTTGATAACCTTCCCAAAGGCCACCTACCCTTTAAAGGCCTGATTACCTGCTTCCATGGTGCCCAAAAATATTCTAGCTCACACTGTGTTCAGTTCTTTACTACAAAATCTGTGATTTATTTACAACTTTTTGAGAAACAATTTTTTTAAAGAGTTTCTTTTTTGGTTGTAGATGGATCCAATACTTTTATTTTGTTAGTTTATTTTTTTTATGTGGTATAGAAAATCGAACCCAGAGCCTCCCACATGCTAGGTGAGCACTCTACCACAATTTTTTAAGTAACAGTCTTCCAAGTTATTATAGAACATTTGCGACAGGAAACAAAAGAAATAATATGGCCAGATTTGTCATCATTAGCTAATCAGCAAGTCATTCAATTTATCAAATAGGTTAATGATAATGGCCCCATAAGACCCAGAGGATGCTAGAGCAAATGAAAAAGACTAAATCACCATTGTTACCTAAAGACTGGGGCCTATCCATCTACATCCCAGCGTGTAATCATCAAGTAAAATTAAGTACTTTTCCATTCATTTCTGTCTATAATCATACTTCCCATACACTCACCAAGCAAAAATTCCATGAAAAATTTGCAGTAGCCTCTGATAACAGGAAGCCATTATGTGGTGCTCTTGAGCTTTCACTTCTGGTCCATCAACTTCACCATGATCCTCGGCAACTAAGCTCTAAAAAGAAAAACGAATTATCCTAATTTCAATTTTTCTTTGAAAAGGAAATCTCCAGTTCACTTATAAGGATAAGATAGTCTTCTGACCTGGAAATAGTTGTGAATATTCTCCAGATGGTTACACATCGGGGTCAGCAGTTGAACAACACAATGAACAACTTCTGGGGCAGACTTCAGATGGAGATGTGAGAATCCAATATTCCGGTTTCCTTTATTCTACAATAAATTCAGAGTTATAAGAGAAGAAATTGTTAGACATCTTTTCTGAATCTACATGTTCCTCATGGAGTTTAGTCAAACTTATGTCATTAAGTAGGACTGGGTGGGAGAAATGAGTTATTTGTCTAAGACTATATTCAGCAAAGGGATAAAAATCTTGTTCCATTTCCGAATGACTAAGAGATTAACCTTTCTAGAGGAAGAATGGTGTCTGATTAAGAAGTACAGACCTATCATAACTAAAGACATAAAACTCAGACAAAAGTAGAAATCACTGTGCTCACTTGGGCAGTACATATACTAAAACTGGAACAATACAGAGATTAGCATGGCCCCTGCACAAGGATAACACACAAATTTGTGAAGTGTTCTATTAAAAAAATCATTTAGGTAGACAGGAATTTAGAACAAATAGTACAAAGAATCAAGTAACTATCACTATCAATGTGTAAGTGCTGATACCCAAGACCTTCACATTGTACTGTTTGCACCATCAATTGCTTCCCCCAGCAGGTCCACATTATGTACATACCTGAGGTTCTGGCCTCTCTAGGCAGCTGATTATGATACTGAGGCTTAGTTTAGGAGGCTGTTAAAACCAAAAACTAAGGGCAGGAGGTGTAGTTCAGTGGTAGAGCCCTTGCCTGGTCATTTGTGAGTCCCCAGGTACAGCCACCGGCACCACAATCCAAAACAAAAAAACCCAAAACCTGTGCATAGATGAGAATTCAGGAATGTTCAGGAAATTTAGAAGTAAATGTCTTATTATGGGTATCTTTTGTGTTTTCTGGGTTTCCATTTCTTTTCCTTTTTTTTTTTTGCAGTGCTATCAGATCTGGTGCCTCATGTGTGCTAGGCTAGTCCAGAATCCTTCAATTCAAGGTGAATATGATCTGGCAATAGGGCTGCCACCATCTTACCCAGTGACCCAAACACAATGCAAAAGAAAGTGATAATTATTCACCACCACAAGCTTTGTTTCCAAATCCACTGAACCCAGGTTCTAAACTTGTACTTACACTAACCTTGAGAAAGGGGTTTCTCTTAGTAAAGGATGGTGTCAGCATATTATCTAACTTGTGAGAGAGATCTTCCAGCAAGAAAAGTAACTCAGGAGGCCCAAGCTGTACAACTTCTGTAGCCTGTGACATAGAAGAAAGATGGAATAATTCCAGATATGTCCTAGTCATTTTATTTTTGATACATTTCATAAACACTCCTCCCAACAGGTGAAGAATTAAATTTCTAATAAAAAAAAGAAAAAAATTTCCCTATCTCGTATAAAGAATGGCTGTTGTGTTCTATTAACTTATCAAAAAGTCAAGCATTTCCAAAATAAAACAAATTCTCAAGTTATTAAAGTAGGAATTTGAGACACAGTATACATTAGAAGTCATAATTTTTCTCTAGAAATAAATTCCTTTGTGTATTTTTCCACCTGTGTAACCAAAATGTATCTCTTAAATATACTACGATAAAAATATGACTTAACTCAAGGCAACTGCACCTAATATACTTCTTTTCCTAATATTTTACTATTATAAACTACAGGTAGAAAGTATATTACATTGCCATAGGTGAAAAGGGTGAAATAGTCTCACATTCAACTATTCACTTAACACACATTTATGGAGAATCTCCATGGGGAAACTAATGTAGTATGAAAAAAAAAAAAATACAAATCATATTCTAAAGGTGCCTATATTCTTACAAGTATCAGGTTAAAAAAATCTGTTATTATAAAAACCATTCTCTTATCAGAGTTTTGTACACACTTAGTTCAGACTATTAATATATTATAGGCCACCAATAGAACAGGTACTGCTAGTTATCTCTACTTTCTCTATTAGATTATAACCTATCTGAAAGCATCCATCATGCTAAAAGTACTAGTTTACTCCCACTGTCTACATTAGTGGACATTCAACATCCTAAAAAAGTAAACATAGCTTTGACCTCTATAAACCAGAACAGTGCTCCTCTACAAAAGTAAACTAAGTAGCTTATTACCCTAAAGTCAAGAATAACATCATCAGCACAATATTTTATTATAGTCTATAACACCATAGAAGACGAGCACAAATACGCATCGTTATTCTCACATATAAAGGCATTTGAAGTCATCATTCTTTTTCCTTTTTTTCAGTGGTGGGAATTGAACTCAGGGCCTTGCCCACAGCCCTCTAAAAATTTCAATGTCACAGTGTTCTTTTTGAAATAAAAATAGAGCTAGGAATTTTGTGAAAGATGATTAATTTCTAAGATCCCAGTATGTCACTTACTTCTGTGTTCATTTCAGTATCTAAGATGAATTTGGTCACAAGTCCACAATGCAGAATAGAGAAGACCTCAATGTCCACCTCTCGAAAAAATGCACTGTAATTCTGTAGTGACACTGATGTTTTTCCTTCCTTCCCTGTGAGCTCCTGGGAAGAAAGTATCAGCAACCAAGAGAATAAAAAAAAGGTCTTCTGTATTAATCTAACTTTTTTTTTTTTTGGGGCAATACTGGGGAACCATTGATACTATCTACCAACACACTACACATTCCTAGCCCCGTATCAATCTAATTTTTAAAGAAGATTCCAAAGTGCAAATACACATTAATTTTATGCAAAAATTTACATTTCCATTACATCATCACCTTCTTTTCACAAAAATCCCTAAATATTCTAAGGCAGAGCACTTAATTTCATGTGGAAATATAAGTCAACACCAAGACTCTTGGTTGGCTTCTGCTTAGGGATAAAATATTAAGCAGATCATGACATTATAATTTGGTAAAGAAAAATATGAGCTTAGGGCTAAGAAGATGATCTGGCTTCAACTCCTAGCTCAAGCACTTACTGTCTAACCTTGGGCAGGTTACTCATCCTCCTTGGGTCTTAGTTGCCTCATGTATTAAATATAGACATTAATACCAACCATAGGAAGATTATTGGAATCATACATAATAAATTACATTAAAAAGTGGTAACTGAAAAACAGAAATAATTGGGTTCCACATGGTTCAGGCAATTTCACAAATACATGAAAACCATTCCATGAATAGTACAAAGTTCTGGTACTAATCAATTACCAGAAACTGTACAAAGCATTTCAAGTTATCTCAATTCATTGAGAAATTGATAATCTGGGGTCAGAATGAGAAAGAGCTTAAGAAATATAATTTTAAAAGACTGACAACTTGATAATTGCTATGAGAGAGAATTCAAGTACCACTGGGGTACAGAACAAGGGAAGTAAAACATGCAAGAAAATAATTAGGGAAAACAACTAAGTGTATGGGAGGCAAGAGGATTTAGAAGTATAATTTGAATTTTGTTATTCAGAGAGTCCTCCAAGGGCTGGGAGAATAAAGCTGGCTCTCTAACGATCTTACTGGGCTGCTGCACACCTTTGTCACACACCCACCACTCCAATACCTTCTCTAGCTGGCTTCTACCAGTTGGCACAGCATCACATTCTGAATTATCCTCTTTTGAAAGTGTGTCAGGGGAGGGTGCTTTGCTGCCATCTGCTTTTCGTTTCCTTCCTCCTTGTGTTTCAAAGAGAAAAAGAAACTCAAGAATCAAAACACATGCTTTGCCAAATTTTTCTGCTCTCAAGAAATAACTTTTGAACACTACCTACAGGTAAAAGAAGTAATTTTATGACCAAATTATAGTACATTTATAAGTCTACTAACAAAGAGGTTTAATTACATCATCTTTCCAATTACTGATGCCTCAATATATAACCTCTTGGGTTAATTCAACATGGCTCAGGTATCGGTAAGACAAAAGAATATACTCACCTATCTTTCCTGTTTTTCTGTTTTTTGCTGAAGCAGCAGAATTGCTATGAGGTATTACATCTAAAGTTTCCAAGTCAAAGTTTGCAAGAGGAGGAACATAGTCCGGGGTGACTGAAATAGAGCAGGCAGAAGCCCAATGTACACCAACCATATATCACCATCCGACATGGGATGCAACCACTCATTTGGCTAAAAACCAATTTCTAAAATTACCAATTGGGGCTGGGGATGTGGCTCAAGCAGTAGCGCGCTCGCCTTGCATGCATGCGGCCCAGGATCGATCCTCAGCACCACATACAAACAAAGATATTGTGTCCGCCGAAAACTAAAAAAATAAATATTAAAAATTCTCTCTCTCTCCCCCCTCTCTAAAAAAAATCATTTAAAAAAAAATAAAATTACCAATTATAGCAGTGAATTTTTGTAAGACACATTCAAGTCAACTGATATTGTTTTCATAAGCAAATGGCCAGAGAACTTACAGAAATTATATTACCATGATTGATAATGATCAATTAACATAAAACCATTCTAAATGATGATATAAAATAACCAAACAGATAAGGACTAAAAATAAGCAGACTAACATTTAAAACCTAACAATATTAATAACATTTGATCACACAGCAGTTTGCTTTATACCCTTTTATTTTAGATGAAATTTAAGGGAGGCTTCATATTTTCTTCAGAGAAATCAAGCTAGCACTTCAAAACAACCAGTTTATTTAATAATCAAAAGGTATGAAGAGGTCTTTATACATACATACATTTATTTATTGTGTGTGTGTGGGAGGGGTACTGATGAGGATTGAACCCAGGAATGTTCTGCTAATACACCCCTAGTCCTTTTTATTTTTGAGACAGGGGCTCATTAAGTTGCCCAGGCTACCCTGAGCCTATGAAGTAGCTGAGTTTACAGTCATGCTATCACACCCAGCAAGGTCTTAATCCTTATTCCTGGTTCATGACTATGTTTTTTTGTTTGTTTGTTTGTTTTTTGTTTTTTAAGAGAGAGAGAGAGAGAGAGAGAGAGAGAGAGAGAGAG